AAAATACAAAAATTAGCCAGGTGAGGTGGTGGACGCCTACTTGGGAGACTGAGACAGGACCCAGGAGGTGGAGGTTGCAGTGAGCCGCGATCACACCACTGCACCCCAGCCTGGGCAACAAGAGCAAAATTCTGTTTCCAAAAAAAAAGGTGGTAAATTTGATGTGTACTTTATTACAATAAAAATTGGAGGGAAAAAGACTAACATTCAGTGTCTGCAATGTTTTCAATAGTGTATTAATGTAATTTTTACCTTGAATATAATCTGTTATCTTCATAATCTAATATAGAAAGTTGAGGTAACTATTGAAGTGTGACTGTTAAAACTAGCTTTGCCAATAATCCCTACATATTTTCCCCTTGAACAGATACATGAACTGTAAATCCTGTTAAAATACTAGGAAAACTGTGTTGCACAGTATTCAGAAGTACAAGTTTTAGAATTGAGCAGCTGAGGGTTCAAATCCTGGCTCTACCTAACCTCAAAGGATTGTTGTTAGGACTAAAATTCTCCCATGTCCAACCTCTTGAATGCAAGGACATTTTTGCTTATTTGTGGTGGCAGATATCATGAAAATTATGCATGGACCCTTTTTCCAGCTATCGTTAGTGTTAGCATATTTTATGTCTGATCCAAGACAATTCTCCTTCCAATGTGGCCCCCAGGGAAGCCAAAAGGACACTAGTGAACTAAATGAAATGGTGTAAAAAAGTCTGTCATTATATGTGCGTGTCCTGACAAAAAGTAAATGCTCAATAAATGTATTCTAAATACACCAAAATCCTTACTATCTTAAGGCTATGATTTCTAAGAAAACCATTAATTGCAAAATAAATTGTATTAAAGCCTTTTCATATCAAAGCCCCGAAGCTTCAGAAAGACAAAGAATGAAACAAAATATAGAATAAAAATAACTTTAAGAAGTCAGATTAAAACATTTATCCCTGGCCGGGCGCGGTGGCTCGTGCCTGTAATCCCAGCACTTTGGGAGGCCGAGGCAGGTGGATCATGAGGTCAAGAGATCGAGACCATCCTGCCCAACATGGTGAAACCCCATCTCTACTAAAAATACAAAAATTAGCTGGGCGTGATGGCAGGCGCCTATAGCCCCAGCTACTTGGGAGGCTGAGGCAGGAGAATCACTCAAACCCAGGAGGTAGAGGCTGCAGTGAGGTGAGATCACGCCACTGCATTCTAACCTGGTGACAGAGTCAGACTCTGTCTCAAAAAATAAATAAATAAATAACCATTTATCTCTATCTCCTAAACAACTATTATGCTGAAAGCACAGGCAGTGTTACTGTCCCGGATAAAGGTCTCCCAGCGTGGAGATGGAAGACAGTGATACTGATGATTCCAACCCCACAAAGGTGGCTGTGTAGAGTTTGTTGGACCCAGATGGTAAAGAGTGCTATTTGTACTGATATGCCTGAGAATTAAGTTAGCATTAACAAAACCTAGTAATAAACATGTCAAACAAAATATGGTTTCTTTTGTGCTTTGTAACTTCATTTAAAGTAGATGGGACACTAGGACAGAGACAAGATGAAAGGGGGTTATAAAGAAGCTGCCTAAAATATATTTTCAAAAGATGCAATTAAGTAACATTTTAGAAGGCCTGGCACGGTGGCTCACACCTGTAATCCCAACACTTTGGGAGGCTGAGGCGGGTGGATCACTTGAGGCCAGGAGTTTGAGACTAGCAAGACTAGCCTGGCCAAAATGGCGAAACCCCGACTCTACTAAAAAATACAAAATTGGCTGTGCGTGGTGGTATGCACCTGTAATCCTAGCTACTGTGGAGGCTGAGACAGGAGAATCGCTTGAACCTGGGAGGTGGAGGTTGCGGGGAGCTGAGATCACACCACTGCACTGCAGCCTGGGTGACAGAGCAAAACCCCGTTTCAAATAAATAAATAATTGAGTAACATTTTAGTAAATAAAACACACAAACCCAACATCGCCCAGCACAGGAATTTACATCCTCAGGTGTGTCTCGACTGAGGGCTGTGAGTGAAGAACACCGTGGTTCCAATTCTACCTCAGCCATTCACTGAATTATGTGCCCTTGTAGATGTTTCTTAATTTAAGCCTCCAAGTATAAGCTGGACGTAACGCCTGCCTCTTAAGACATTGTAAGGAATAAGTGAGATTTAAAATGTGATTCACAAGTTATTACCAGGCTTTTTTTGCCCTAGGTCAGTCCTGTATTTTCTCTGTCTTACTCATTGTCCGCTTAACACCAGCTACCAAACTCTGATCTCAAACTTTCATTTCCGGTGACGTCTAAACAACTGAAAATGTTTCCCACCCCACCATCCAGGAGGTTTCCACATTTCCATACAGCTTAATATTAAAAAGATAAAGCTGAGATTTGTAGGATTCCAGGGACAGACAGTAAAGCAGTACACTTGGAGGGCATCCTCTACTCCAGGAACTGCTGCAGATATTAACTGTCTCAAATGGCAGAAGAATTCATTCATATGGCAATAAAGGGAAATGAATCTTTTATTTCCTTGTAATTTTTTTCAGCAGCATCCACATCACCTAAGAGGTTTCAAGCAAATGCAGAGCCTCCTCAGACCTACTGAGTCAGAACATGCACTAGAGGCAGATTAACAATGCTTTAGATGTAATTCAAACTTGAGAAACGCTGCTCAGAACTCCACACCCATGTAGGTGGCCAGCAAGTATAGATCAATTTAAATAAAAATTTGGGAGACAGGCACAACCCACTCTATAAACACAGAATACTTACCATTTAGAGCTTACCCATAATGCATATTTTAATATTAAAATAACAACTGACAACAAAAAAGTTATGTTTTTTAAAACAGACCACAGCATCTGTAACTAGTCCTTACTCACGATAAACACCAACTTCCCATACAGAAATCATATACATCAGTGTCCACACCAAAATAAATATTTAGAATACACAATTTTCTTCACCAGAATACAGTATTTTTTTTTTTTTTCATTTTAAAAGCTACTTACTTCTCCTTCAGATTTTACACCAATTACTTTTCCATTCTGCACAATGATTTCTTCAATGGGTTTATTCAGCATATAGGTACCTCCATAAATAGCACTTAGCCTGAAAAATTTTTTAAATCCCAATTAATAATAAATAATCATTTTAACTACTAAAGTCCCCTTCCTTAGATCTTCATGAGTTATAGGCGATATACATTTATTTGTTCAATTTCCTTCTAGAAAGATGTCAGCTTAAAAGTGATTAAAGCATGAAAACAGAGTCAGAAACATAAATTGATATCTCACAGTTATAAACACCAAGTCAGCAAACACGTAGAGTTGGTGTTTGTAACTGTGACTGAGTAATAAAAGGAGGCCCTTGTCTTTCAAGCTGCCCACTTGGCCCTCTTCTCAGTGTACTTTCTCTCCTCCCTTTCATCCCTACTCTAGAGCTTTTAATAAACGTTCACTCTTGCTCTAAAACGTGCCCAGGTCATTCCTTCTGCCTTACACCCCTTGGCCATTCTTTTTTCTGAGGAGAAAAGAACTGAGGTTGCTGCAGACCCACACGGATTCACCTCAGTGCGATAATATATTTTAGTGCCTGTGACTCGGATAGCTTCCACCAGTAACACACTTTGGTGCCACGTGACTCAGATACATTCCCTAGTGGTAAGAGACCTCTACGCCTCATCTTCTTCCGCTGGAGGCGCTCAACCCCATACGCAGTTTGCTTCCCCCTTTCACTCTCCAGCTTGCTAAGCAACCACCAGAGCAGCTCCTCTCAGGCGGCCACAGCAGCTCTGCTTCCACAACTATTCCTCAGCTCACCCTGATGGATGGCTCATGGGGTTGGGAGAGACCTTGGGGACACTAATGGCCCTCCTGGACAGGAGACTCACAAGAGTGGTGAGGCCAAAGCCTAAAGCCGTGCAATATCTGGGGTTTTCTCTGCTTCTTCAACTAAAATCAGCTCTTTCTCAAAAACCCACACTCTGTTCTCCTGTTTTTCATGTGTGTGTTCTGAAATGGCCTTGGGCATGTGCGGGACTATCTGCCCCAGAGGCAAGTCTGCCATTTCTCTAGATTCACTTCCAAAAAAAAAAGAAAAAAGCTCTGACCAGTAATAGCTATATTGGTCTAATCCTCTGGCATATAAGTAAAACTATGGACTTAAAACACTTTGTAAGAGGGACTGGAGGCAGTGGTTCACGCCTAATGCCACCACTTTGGGAGGCCGAGGCCAGCAGATGGCTTGAGCCCAGGAGTTTAAGACCAGTCTGAGCAACACAGTGAAATCCTGTTTCTACAAAGATAGAAAAATTAACCAGGCATGGTGGCACTCATCTGTAGTTGCACCTATCTGGAATGCTGAAGTGGCAGTATCACATGAGCCTGAGAGGTCGAGGTTGCAGTAAGCTGTGATCACACCACTGCACTCCAGCCCGGGTGACAAAGTAAAATGCTGTCTCAAAAAAAAGGTAGTAATAAAGGGGAAAAAAAAAGAAGCACTGGAGAATGACTTAAAGCGGCACAAACTAAAGACTGAAGAGATTCTTGAAGGGAACCAACTGGGTGAGATCTTTCTGTGTTTTCTATGGTTTCCCCTTAGGGAACGACTTCCCTAGTCCTGGCAACATGGCGCAGCTGGGACAGAAGCAGAGCGCCTGCAGTCTTACTGATCTGAGATGTGACAGAATTTGGGGCGGCCAAAGGAGATGAAAATTTCACAGAAGAGGGAGCCTCAAAAGAAGGAACCAACAAATCTATGATAAAATCTCTTCAAATCCTTAACTACCTCCAAAAGTGCAAACACAGGAGGGAGAAGCCAAGGAATCTACCAAAAGAAACAGCTGAAAAGCTCAAAAAGGTTAGCAAAGATTATAATGAATGAACAGAAGAAAAAATGTGTTTGAAGTTTAAAATTGCCATGTTCAAAGGAGCTTGGTTACTCTAGAGGAGTAATGTTTAAGAACCAGCAACAGGCCGCTTGCACATGTAACATCATGGCGCCGTGTGTGGCCGCAGCAGAAACACAGGTGGCTGGCCCGAGGCAAGATTGTTGCTCCCTTTGCGCCCACGGCTGGCTCTTGAAGTGCAGAGAGGAGCTGCAGTCTTCACAGCTGCATCAAGTTCCCTAGCACAACCGCTCCCCTTCCTAAGGCTGCTGCTTACCCCCATGTCTGTGTAAGTAATGGACCCCTCAACCTGGCTCATCAACAGAGCAGTTTATTAGCTGCAGGCAACTATGAAGAGGCTATTTTTTGTCACAAAAAGGCTGCGGCCTATCTTTCTGAAGCCATGAGGATGACACAGTCTGAGCAGGCTCATCTTTCAATGGAATTGCAAAGAGATAGAAACATGAAACTGCTCCTCCTCATCCAAGAGAGATGGAAAAGGGCCCACCGTGAAGAAAGATTGAGAGCCCAGCAGAACACAGACAAGGATCTACCTGGCCCATCTTCGGGCATCTCACAAACCCTCTGCCGAGGATGCAGGGGGCCAAAGCCCCCTTTCTCAGAAGTACAGCCCTTCCACAGAGAAACGTCTGCCTAAGACTCAGGGGATCCAGACACACTACTATTTTTACTTCAGCAAAAGAGTGAGCCAACAGAGCCAGGTATTGGAAGCAAAGACCCAAAAGATGATAAAACAATTATAGAAAACCAGATTTGAAGAGGCATGTGAAATTTTTTCTGGCTGAGAATGAAAGATTAAGGAAAGAAAAAACTAAAGGCTAAAAAGGGCAGACTTCTAAAAGGTCCAATAGAAAAGGAGCTAGATGTAGATGCTGATTTTGTAGAAACATCAGAGTTACGGAGCTTGCTGCCACATTCAGAAACTCTACAGCCTCTTCAGCCTGACAGAAGTTTGCGGCAAATACCGGGAAAGCAAAGGACATTCCAATCCCCAACCTTCCTCCCTTGGATTTTCCATCTCCAGAACTTCCCCTTATGTAGCTTTCTGAGGATAATCTGAAAGGATTTATAAATAATTAAAATGGAAGGCCACAGAAGAGGGGAGAAGAGGAAATAATGCAGTAACAGTTAATCCAGCAAAAAAAATGGAAAACCACATAGAAGGATAATCCTGGAAATGCTTCATCGTCTGGTGTACTTGGGAGAAGAGGCATTGCCAGGGCTTGGGAAACAAGTCACTGTGAAATATGTCACATATTATCTGATTCACTGACGCGAGCTACTGATTCTGACTTGGCAGACACTAAATTCATGGAGGTTCAGTTTCTCTAGATAAAAACCAAATGGTTACATGAAATAATTTTTTCAAGCAACAATTACTTTTCTTAAGGGTTAAAATGCATAAAAGTTGGGCCAGGTGCAGCAGCTGACGCCTTTAATCCCGGCACCTTGGGATCACCTGAGGTCAGGAGTTCAAGACCAGCCTGGCCAACATGGCGAAATCCCATCTGTATAAAAAAATATAAAAATTAGCTGGGCATGACGGCAGGTGCCTGTAATCCCAGCTACTTGGGAGGCTGAGGTGGGAGAATCACTTGAACCCAGGAGGCAGTGAGCCAAGATCGCGCCATTGCACTCCAGTCTGGGTGACAGAGCGAGACTCCATCTCAAAATAGACACTTCTCAAAAGAAGACATTTATGCGGCCAAGAAACATATGAACAAAAGCTCATCACTAGTCATTAGAAATGCAAATCAAAAGCACAAAACCATGTGAGAAACCATCTCATGCCAGTTAGAATGACAATCATTAAAAAGTAAACAACAGATGCTGGAGACGATGTGGAGAAATAGGAACACTTTTACACTGTTGGTGGGAGTGTAAATTAGTTCAACCATTGTGGAAGACAGTATGGCGATTCCTCAAGGATCTAGAACCAAAAATACCATTTGACCCAGCAATCCCATTACTGGGTATATACACAAAGGATTATAAATCATTCTACTATAAAGACACATGTACCTGTATGTTTACTGCAGCACTGTTCACAATAGCAAAGACTTGGAACCAACCAAAATGTCCATCGACGATAGACTGGATAAAGAAAATGTGGCACAGATACACCATGGAATACTATGTAGCCATAAAAAAGAATGAGTTCATGTCCTTTGCAGACATGGATGAAGCTGGAAACCATTATTTTCAGCAAACTAATACGGGAACAGAAAACCAAACACCACATGTTCTCATTCCTAAGTGGGAGCTGAACAATGAGAACACATGGATACAGGGAGGGGAACATCATACACCAGGGCCTGTTGAGGGGTGAGGGGCTAGGGGAGGGAGAACATTAGGAGAAATACCTAACGTGGATGATGGTTGATAGGTGCAGCAAACCACCATGACACATGTATACCTATGTAACAAACCTGCACACTCTGCACTATGTATCCCAGAACTTAAACTATAATTTTTTTAAAAAAGTATAAATGTATGTTATGCATAATTAATCTATAATGCTATAAATGATAATGTAAAATCTAAATAATATGGTGGCCCGAGGGGCTGCATTCTATTTGAAACATGCTTTCTATCATGCATTAATTATATGCATTTTGTTAAAATAAGGTATGTAAGATACACACCCTTCTAGATATAACTGTGTGCACCAAACTTTGTACTACTCACAATAACCTCAAGACCATCAGGAGAAATATTTAAATTTCCGTTATGCTTTTTATTAGTTATGCTTTTTTAAACAAATTATTAGTTATGCTTTTTTAAACAAATTACCAGTTTACATAATTAATCAAGGTGCATTATAAGTTCTAACTTTGTTTATTGTACAATGCATCATTTTAAAATACCAAGGAAGAAATATCCTTTGTTTTTAATGATACATGAGTGGAAATAATGCTAGTCGGCAGTATTTGACTGTAAGAAATCAATAAAGTGTGTTTAAAAAAAAATCAGCAAACAAAAGGAACAACTAAGAAAGAACCACTTTAACAAGGTATAAAATCCAGTCTTCACAAATGCAAGGTGAACAGCCAATAATTGAACTGCCTACTCAAACCAAAACAAACTTCCAAGGAAGAATCCAGCATCTCGACAATCTATCAATCCATGTGTCCAGTATACAATCCAAAATTACTAGATGTGGGAAGAAACAGAAAACTGTGATCCAAAGAAAACAGGTAAA